TCTAGAGCAGGGTTCCTCAACCTTGCCACCTGGAAGCCTCTTGGACTTCACCCCCCAGAATCCCCCAGCCAGCATTCGCTGGCTGGGGAATTCTGGGAGTTGAAGTCCAGACGTCTTCAAGTTGCCAAGGTTGAGAAACACTGCTCTAGAAAGTCTCAAGCAGGGTTAAAAAGCCAGCAGCCTTTCCTTTTTGTAAGGGTTTGGGGCTAGACTACCTTTGAATGTGGGGAAATTCGATTGGACAGCCTGGGATAGAGCTGCCCATTTCTATGAATTGGCCTAATCATTTTTATTTTTTTTTGCATGACAGTGGTAGCCAACCATATCAGCTATTATTGCCCCATCCAGGGACAGTCAACCGCACAAATCAGTTAAGAGTTTTCATGGTCCGAGCCAACGGGGGGGGGGGGATCAATTTCATTGGGTGAACTTATTTTAAAATGTTGTGAGGTACTCTGTGGTGACATTATGGGAAGATTCAGAAAGGACAGCGATGTGTCAGTTATCGTTTTAGGGAATGATTACCGTGTCTTTCTTTTAAAGAAAAACAAAGCAAAAAGAAAAAAACCTCACGGGAAAATCGAAACATCAAATACCGTTGTCCATGAATAAGAACTACCAGAGTCTCCATCATCCATGGGTTGGGGATGAGGATTTTTCATATGCCACACCCATTGAGGAAATGCCAAACTGCTTCAAAGCAAAAAGTCAAGTGCTGTAGCTTTCTACATTATCTTTAAAACAAATTGCACTGTAATTCACTCTGGGGCCTTAGGGCAGAACAGAATATGTGGAGAATTCCACACAATCCTGTTAACAGTGAAAGGAACAGGTGGGTGTGGCAGCACTCAAACTGAGCGAAATTGAGGTACGTTCTGCAGTTTGAAAACCTGCCCAATTTGACCCCAAGTCACCTCACAAAAGCAGCTAAGGGGAAGAGGTCGTTTTTTTCTGTGGACTGTAATTTTATTTTATTGTTTTAAATCCGGGGCTGCTTTGGCTGATGGCCAGGAGAAGAGCTACTACAGATGCTATTTTCTTAAGACAACAGGAAGCTTGCAGACATAACCGCTCACAAGAGAGATCACGGGAACTGATGTCGCTGCAGAAATCACTTAAATATATTATGGGTGGAGGGAGGAATTATAAATGGTTCCCCTTATGGACAAGAAACAACAGGTACCTCCCGCAATGGTTACTCATATATCCAGATGCTCAACACCATTAACTTTTATGGTTGCCATAATGCATGATTAATGTGAGAAAAGCTGGGAGTGGAGAGAGGATGCAGAGCTTATTTCATAAAAAATAAATGGATTTGTAAACTGTTTTTTCCCCTTGCAGTTTATTTCTCTAAGTTGCTGCCTTGCAAATTAGATTTCCGTCCACTCCACCCTCCCTGAACTCAGTGGGACATTTCTGAGCAGATATTGCACTGCACGTTTGGGCTCCCTAGTTTCAACATCAGAAAAAAAAGAGAGAGAGAGAAAGATGCTTATTTTGCTATAATTACTTCCTACTCTTCTGTCAACAAGCCACGTTCGTTTCTAAGAAATCAGAATTAAGAAGAGTTTCATGTTTGATCCACGCCATGTCTCTTTCTTCTGAAAATGCTTTTTGAAAAGAAGTTGCCCACAAGGAAAATAAAAACTGAGACATTTGCATTATTCAGTGCTATTTTGAAAAATAAATAAATAACGAGAGTTGGGGGGGGGGGAAATACGTTGAGAAGCTAATCTCCAGCTTTTAAAACAGATGAAACAAGAAGCAGAAAAGCAGCTAATTTCCATTCCGCACAGATTAACAGGCGGGTTTTCTAAATTCAGCCTTTGTTCTCCCAGTCTGAAATTTCTTTCATGGCCTTTTGTTAATAGTTTTGCCCCTAAGCCTTATTTCCACAATTTTAGAATTCAGCAAAGATGCACCCATGCCTACTTTATGAATGGGAGAAGAATAAAGAGGAACCATTTGCTTTCAAGAGAAACCCAGCCAGGTTGCCCATTCATTCTACACAATCACTTTAAAAACCCTACTACTGGTATCTACCCACTGGTCCAGAAATAAATACAAAGCCCTCCCTTCCTCACCCATTTGGTTGTTTTACACTTGAATATGATGTGATTAAACACAATCAGGGTTTTCCCACCCTAGTAGATTCCCAGTCCACAGAGCCACCCAAAATCTCAGCAGCAAGAAAAATTCCCATAACATGAAGAAATATTTTGCTGATGAAGGACCCAATTCACATTTTTTTCATCTTTCCAACCCACCCCACCCCTCTGCCCCCTCAGCCAGCTTCTCTAGGGAAGGGAAGCAGGAATAACTTTAACAGACAATACCAAGCACGAGATATTTTTAAGTGTGGGTGGAATTTCTCTTTCTCTCAACCTAGTAAATATATCTGAATCTGAATCAAACCTCTCCATCCAGGAACCCACCACCCACCCCGCCCCATCCCATCTTCCTCATTATTATTAGTTATTGTTATTGTTGTTATATAACAATGCCTGATCTGAACAAAGAGGGCTGCAGAGAACAAATGCATAAGAGAAATTGGGGGGGGGGGAATCACTCCTCCACCCCCATCTTGAGCGCAATGGATAGGGTTGAATTCACGCCTATTTCGAGTTAGCCCTAACAACTGGACAATGCAACCCTGGGGTGACACCGCAACACAATTTTAATGCAGCTACAGCAGAAAGCGATTTGCAAGGAGTTGCCACTCATTCCCATTCACACACACTTGTTATGCGAGCCCGAGAGAGCCGGGGCGCACGCTTGGAGCGAGTGTAAAGCATTCATCCATTTGTCTCGCAGTTGCTCTGCCTGGGGTGGAGGCTTCTCCGTCAAGCCTTCCTCTCTCTCTCTCTCTCCTAAGCCCTGGCGCCGGTCGGTTTTCATTTCCCAATTCCTGGGTTGCAACAGCTCGGTCTTTCCCCTCGCAAGACGAACCTGCCCTCCATCCCCGCTTCATTTCCCGCATCTCCGACTTTGCCCCGGACCCATCAGGCGGGGATGGGCGGAACGCAGGAGCGGCGCGTTGGAGCAGCAAAGGGAAACACGCGCCGCGTGGGAGAAGGCGGCTTACAGCTGCACCTTCTCTCCGCGGCTTCGCTTTATCTACCTGGCGGAGAGGCGATCCCGGAGAGCCGTCCGCGCAAGGCAGGCGAGGGAAAAAACACACACACACCACCTTCCCTCCGAGACTTCTGCGCCTGGATCCAGATGGCGAGGTGTGGAAAGAAGGCGGCGAAGTCGCCCGGGTGCGGCGCTAGGAGCAACAGCTGATGGTCAGGGGAGCGGAGAAGCGAGCTGCTAGCCAAAGAGCGAGCAGCGCCTTAGCCTGCAAATAAAGTCCCACCCAGTCTTGTGTGTGTGATATCAGCTCCTCGTTGTACAGGAAACGGAACATCCACCACTTCCTCCTGTAAGCTACTAGGGGGTGTTTTTGGTTCTTAACTTGCAGCCCCTGTGGTTGCCCAACTCGTCTGCAAGTCTTTTTTTCTACCCGAATCCTTAGCTTCTTTAAAAAAGGGGCGGAAGGTTTTTTCCTCCAGTTCTCCTCTTTTCATTTTTTGAGCGATATCAACCTCTTTCTAAAGTCCTTCTCTTAGCAGCATCAGGACATTACAGCTTTGAGGTCTTTTAAATGTATTTAGTGGGAGTTTATTTATTTTATTTATTTCATCAAGTATATGTATTAGACAACATATATATGTATAAGCATGATTTTGGATACATGAAATGGATGCTAATAAAAAGTAACGTTAGGACAGGGGCGGTAGGCACATTGGTGTGCTTATAGCAATAGCAGTTAGACTTATATACCGCTTCATAGG